CCTTATAGTATTACTACGGGAGACGGTTCTTATTATCTAGGATAAGGTTCCTATATAGTATAAGTTCTGTTTCGAGGCCGTTAATCGTATATTACGGGATATACTAAGTAATAATTACCTCTTCGGCGGTATTCCGGTTATCTTCGGGGGCGATTTTGCCTATATTCTATCCGTTATTCGTAATAGTAGTCGGGCGTAGATTATACACGCCTGCTTTTAGCGGTCCTCTATCTAGCCGTAACTTAGTATTCTTTGCCTAACGAAGAATATACAGGTTACCTTTACCGATCCTAATAATCGGGCGTTTATTTAGTGGCTATAGGACCTCTCCTATAATACCGAACTTTACGGGTTAGTCGACCTTTTCCCTGCTATTACGGCTATTTACGATATCGTCTATCTATACGGGCGTATTTACCCGACTAAATTATTATAGCAGGCGCCGTTAGACTATATAGTCTTTATTAACCGTGTTATTCTAATAACTCGTAATACTACTATCACGGCTATTAATAGGTAAATACTAGGGCGATTACCTAGCCGCTTATAGGTTTACTTAGCCGAGAATTCGGTCGCTAATCGGGTAAAGAATACTAATAGCCCTACGCCCGAACTAGTACCGGAGTTTTTAATATAGTTAGAGTTCGCCTCTATCCCGCCCGCGAGGCTTAAGCTAAAGGTCGGCGCGCCCGTTATACTTATACGGAACCTTAGCCCGCGGTAGGGATTATATAACAGCACGCGTATAGTTATTTTACGGATAGCGCATAAGACGCTAGAGGTTAAGGTGCTATCCGGAATACACGCTAACGAGGTGGTATTTATCCCCCGTATCTATTTAGATTCTAATAAAGAGGACTACCCGTATATTATCCGGCGCCGTTAGTTCCCGTTACGGCTCTATTTCGCGATAACGATTAATAAGTCGTAAGGGTAATCGTTTAGTACGGTTAGCATGGATTTCCGGCAGCACGCCTTTATACACGGTTAGTTTTATATTACCGTATTAAGAGTTACGGATATTAGGAATCTATTAGTATTCTTACTAGCATACGAGGGTTAGAAGGTGCAGGATAGCAGGCGTGTATCTAATATTATATACCTAGAGGTCTTAATTTAAACGTTCTAATAGTCACTTTAAGGGTGCACGATATTAATGGTTATGGTTATAGTCGTAGTATTCGTAGTCAGGATTCTTTATTATATAGCTTATAGTATAGGCGGGAGGAAGTAAATTAACTATATCCGAGCTATAAACACCTAAAAGTAAAAATAAAAAAATAACCGTAAATCCTCCGTAAAGCAGAAAAAAGAAATATAAAAATAAAATATAAAAATAAACCCTAGTAGTAAAAACGCGACCGTATAGCTTTAACGCTTTACGGCCGGGATACTACTCTTTAGGGCTAAGATAATATTCTTATAGAACTATATTATATCTTTTTTCTACGCCGTCGTTATACCCGTAGGGAGGAGGACGCCTAGGACTTTAACGTTACCAAAAGTAATAGGCGCGGGTATACTATTAGCGGTAGCGGCGGCGCGGAATAAATACTTACTGCCCTCGGAATTAAAGTGGTAGTTACTATAACTACCGTTAGCGATATTAAGGACCGTAAAACACTTTACGAATAGTCTGTCTTTATTACTATAGTGCTTATAGTCTTTTTAGACGTTACTAACTAGTATTATTATAACGGCCTCACGGTTAGCCGTGCGGTTAAGGTTAAGGTTTTTATCCTTACATAGTACAAGGTCCCGTTTAACCTATTTACGGTAACCGTTAACGCGTGGAATAGTAGTTAATTAGTAGTTAGTAATATACCCGAAGGCTGCGTATAGTTATTAACGCCTTAGAGTCTTTATAGACGGTATTATAAATAAGGTTAATTACCTCTACGCGGGCGACCGTATACCCGTCCTTTATAGGTATCGTCTTCTAAACGCGGCTACGAAAGGAGGAGGGGGGCTAGCGGGAGGGCTAGCGGGCGGGCGTGCGGGCGGGCGAGTTATCGGCGTACGGATCGAACAGGCTATATGCGCGGGAGGGGGTACTATCCGGGAAAAATAATTCGTGTAGGAATTCTTCTTCTTCTCCTATAATAGGAGGGTCGGAGGGTAAGGGCGACTACGAATCTCGCGAGCTAATAGGGGAGTCGGATAGTACGGGCGGTATACTATAGATAGCGGTTAGTATCGTCGCTTTTTATAGGGTTAACGCGTATATTTATACCCGTAACTTACTTAGCGGCGAAGCTTTAACGACCGGAAACGGAAAAAAGAGAGAGGGAGTTAAAGGAAATAAAATAAAACGGTTACTTAGTAAAGATATAAGGGATAACGAGGTTTAATTAATTAACGGCTTTATTCCGTAAATAGGCGCTTTTAGTATAAATAACTGGAAAACTATTTTATGGAGATACTAAAATAACATAATAAAAAAGGTCGTTATAGTGTGGAAAACAGTAAATAATAGTAAAATAACAGGAGGCAGGCGTTTAACGGTTATTTTCGGTTGTTTTTCGGTTATTTAATTATGGCGGGGTAGGTTATATGATAAGCC